TTAGACAAATGGGGAAGAACTCTAGAGGTGAAAAGCATCCTGGTTTCTGGTTAGAAACTTCCTTTAGCCTTCTCTATTCTAGTGGCAACTTCTGATTAGTTAATTTACATGTTGTGCATCCCCCTGTATATTCAGACATTTCAAGCTAGCAATTCTGTTTGAATTTTTGAGAATAGATAGCTCACAAGATCTGAATAAAGGAAGGTTAAGCTTAAGAGGCTTAAACATATGGTCTTTTTTTTTTTTTTTTTTTTGCGTTTTCTTTTTTTGAGTATTTAGTTACATGTACCTATCTTCGACAGAGAGAATGTTAGTAAGTCTAGAAAAAGACATTCATGAGGAAGAGGCTAAGGTCTTGGTATTATCTGTTGATTGCCTTTATCTTTGCTGTACAGGTATTCCCCACTTTTCGAAAGTTCACTGTACACCATTTTGCTTTTATGAAAGACTTACATTGATACCTATTTTCACTAACCTAGATAAATCTGAAAAGGATTTTCATGTTTCTGAAAAGAAGTAAGAAGCAAAGATAGCGTTCAGTGTTTGTTTCGCAGGGGCTGTTGTAGAAGCAGTGGAAACCCTGAGTGGCAAGAGTGGCGCTACAAAGCCCCTTCCCCGGGAGTCTCAGTTTATTTTGTGCATCGTTAGCAAGATGTGTCCTAAGGTACTTGCTTCTTTGCCTTACGCCTTTTTGGCTTACAGGAAAGGTTTTGTACGAACAGCTCTACTTTCAGAGAGCAGGGGAAACCTGTACTTCTTCCCAGTTGTAATTACTCACATAGGGAATAGAAAAGCTTTAGCCCAGTTTACATTTTATACTATCACTATAGTAGAATTTCAGACAAAAGCAAGAAAGCAGGGCTTCCCTGGTGGCGCAGTGGTTGAGAGTCTGCCTGCCGATGCAAGGGACGCGGGTTCGCGCCCCGGTCCGGGAAGATCCCACATGTCGCGGAGCGGCTGCACCCGTGAGCCATGGCCGCTGAGCCTGCACGTCCGGAGCCTGTGCTCCGCAACGGGAGAGGCCACAACAGTGAGAGGCCCGCGTACCACAAAAAAAAAAAAAAAAAAAAAAAAAAAAAACCATTTTCAAAGTCACCATAACTCACATGGAGTAAAATTGTTTTAAAATGGGCTCTTTTCTTACTAAGAAAGACCTATTAAACCTGAGCTGTATTGTTTTCCTGTTCACTACCCAGTGTCAAAGCAATGGGGTGTTCTCAGACTCAACCCTTAAAAATGTCACCTGTGCTCAAGCGTAAAAGTCGCCCAGCTAGATTCAGTCACTTTGATACGAAGGAGTCAAGCTTCTATCTTGGGGCATTTCAAAGAGGTCCTGGAACGCCATTTCTTTCTTCATTCTTTGACTGACACTTGCTTGGTCTTGGTAGGCCTTTGCATCGCGACCCACAGCTTTTCCATCGCCCATCTGGCTGTTGAAACATGAAACGGGAGTCTTGCAGAGATGTGAGGTAGGAGGCCAGGGTTGGCTGTGGGTTTTTTTCTCCGAAAACACGCAGGAGCAGCATAGGAAAGGGGCCGCCTCATTTGCAGTATCATCCCGTTATGTGTACATCGCCCATCTCTGTGGCTCAGAGAGGAAACCTGAACAATGAAGGGTACCTCAGGGTAGGGGAACCGCCTCATAACTAATGCTTTCAACTCTCCCACCACTTTCTAGACCTCATCTCTGGGGAGAGCAGAGCCCTTCAGGCAGAGGTCCTCATGTGTCCCATGGCCCTTCGTCTCTCTATAATCTCGGTGATTTTCTCTCATATTCCTGGGGGCTGACAGCAAGTTTGCAAAACAGCGCGAATGAGGAAAGTCACGTTAGAAATTTAGTGTGGGCTTAAGGCAGGGCACAAGGCGTCGGGATTTAAGACCAGGCATTCAGAGACTGTGTAGCTATGGCACAAGATTTGGGATGCGTATTGCTTATGCCCCAGTTGAGCTACCCCAGCTGCGTTTGCATGGAGCAGAGACAAATCTTTCCTACCAAGTGCCAACTAAAGAATGTCGCTTGTCACCCGGCTCTACATGGATTAGCCATTAGCCACTGCAGTCGCTGACCTCCAACACATCCTGAAAGGGATTCAGGGTGGAGATCGGAAATGAGGCAGCCTGTGCTCTGGGATAAACTGGCAGAACAGGCCTTCAGATCGTTAGATATTTTGGAAGGCTCAGGGTCTCTTATAACCTAATCTCAGAAGTGACCGATTGTTACTTCTGCCATCTTCTTTTGGTCACACAGACCAATCCTTTTCCAACAGGGGAGGGAACTGTACAGGATGTGAATAGCAGCGGGAGGGGCTCATGTGGGTCCACCCCGAAGAGCGGCTACCATATCTTCTATCCTGGATTCCATGTTTTATCTGCTTGGTTGCCTGCTTCCTTTCAGTGGATTACATTTTTCTAGTGGCATCCTGAAAAAGGTTGCCTGGGCAGTAATCTTTTTCAGATGTGGCATTTGTGAACATGTCTTTATACCTCATCCCTGAATAATGGTTTGGGTTTAGAATTCTAGGTTGATAACATTTTTCTTCAGAATTTTGAAGGCTTTATCCATTATTGTGTAGTTTCCAGACTTTATTTTTTTCTTTTTTTTTTTGCGGGCCTCTCACTGCTGTGGCCTCTCCCGTTGCGGAGCACAGGCTCCGGACGCGCAGGCTCAGCGGCCATGGCTCACGGGCGCAGCTGCTCCGCGGCATGTGGGATCTTCCCGGACCGGGGCACGAACCCGCGTGCCCTGCATCGGCAGGCGGACTCTCAACCACTGCGCCACCAGGGAAGCCCTCCAGACTTCTAATTGTCAAGTCTGATGCCGTTGTGAATCTTCATTTTCACGTGCTTCCTGTCTTTGTGTTCTTGAAACTTTTAGGCTTTTCTCTTTATCCCCTTTATTCTGGAGTTTCATATTGTGTACGGGTTTTTTTCTTCTTCCTACATTTGTGTATTATCCTGGGTATGTGATGGGCTCTTTCAATTCGGAAACTCAAGCTCTTCAATTCTGTGAAGTTTTTGTTTTTATTTATTTGGTAATTTTCTCAGTTATCTCTTTCTGGGGTCGTATTTGTTGCATGTTTAACCTGTATTGATTCTCTGCTTTTCTTAGTATTATTTTTTCTATTTTCTACCAATTTTTCTTTGATCTACTTTCTGAAAGATTTTCTCAACTTTTATCTTCCAAAACTTTTATTAATTTTTAAATTTCTGCTTTTATATTTTTAACGTCCAAGAAGTCCTTTGTGGTTTGATGAATGTTTCTTTCCCTTTTTTTTTTTAAACACTTTGTCCTTCCATTGTACTTTTATCATCTTGTCTAATTTTTCCCCCATTGGATGCTTTCTGAGAATGTATGACTTAATAATCCTGGACTGTCTACTAATGCCCAAGAGTGATGCATGAAAGTTGATTGGAAGAGTATGTTCAGAGGCAGGGCTTGTCAAGATGTGGGCTTTAATTTAGGGTAATTTGTTGGTGTTCTTTCCTTGATGGATATCTCAACTCTCAGTATTTATAGGTCTTTTTTTTTCTCTTGTATTGTTTAGTTTCCTCAGAGAAAAATTACCCAGTCTCTTGCTTACGGTGTGTTTGTTGGGGGATGGATAAGAAACTAGGCTGCAGGATTCTAAGAGCAGAGCAGAGTAAGGAGGATGGGAGATCTCATCACACCTCATGCATGATTTCACCCTGTTTTCCTCAGCTCTGGCTGGCATCCCTGAGTCTGGAGCTTGTCTGCGTTTAGGCTTTCAGTAAATTGGCAACATGGAGGGAGACAGGCAGTTACCTCATTGTAGCAGCTAAGGGAGGGGACTCAGGGCAAGGGGTTTAGCTGCTTCACAGACAGACTTTCAACCAGTGCGGCTCTGGTTCAGACTCAGCCTCCCCTCAGCCTTCACAAGCACTTCCGGTCTCCTGTCTGGGGAACACGCACTTTGCTGTTACTGCACGTAGAGGGGCATTTATTAGAGCATCGGTTCTCAGAGTGTGGTCTGGGGGTCTGAAAAGTCAAAAGAATTTTTATAATAATACTAAGATGAGATTTTCCCTTTTCACTCACATATTCCCGTGAGCGTACAGGGGAATTTTCTAGAGGCAGCATGATGTGTGATAATGCAACAGATTAAATGCAGAAGCAGATATGGGAATCTGGCTGTCTTCTGCTATGCCAAACATTACTGAGATTTATAAAAATGTGCAACAAAGCCACTCTTCTCACTACGTTTTCTTGGTTTGAAATATAAACTTATCTTTCATAAAATATGTTATTCATGTTAACATGTACTGGATTTATTAACATTGTTAAGTGAATTAATAAAGAAATACTAAAAGTTTCAGCTTTTGGGAAATGTATATATTTTTTAATGTATATATATATATACACAATACCTTTATATATAAATATATAAAAATATATATGTATATATTGCCCCAAAGCTGATACTTTTAGTATATAACCAACATGAATAAAAGCTCTTTGAGGTCTTCAATACTTTTTTTTTTTTTTTTTTTTTTT